TTTATGTGCGTCTGAACCTATCGTGAGGATATTATTGTGTAGGTCGATAGTAACTTTTAGACCTGATTGGTTTAGCTTCTTGTGTAATAAAATAAAGATTTTTGCTTGTTGGGACGACTTTGTCCAATAACGCTTATATATATATGACCTCTCTTTTTAGCTACTCCTTCTCTCTACAGCACACAAGTTATGACTAAGATTTTATCAGTACATGAACGAAACACAATGCAAAGGGCAAGGAATGTAAAAGAGGCGCGGAAGAATATACAGGGCATACAAAGGGGTACAGAAAACACCTTACAAGTAAACTATTAAGAAGATGAAGAGAACAGACAGAAGGAAAGGGGAAGTAAATGTATGGGGTGGGGTTGAAGGCTCACCTCAGCATGATGGTAAGAACGACAGCCGAAGCTGGCATGCTGTCGCACAAGAGCCCAGTGGGCGGGACTCATGTCTTTTTATACCCTCTCCGTGGGCGGGTAAGATGGAGCGACCGAACTTGGACGATTGGCGCTGTGATAAGTTTTGCGCTTTTCCTACATCTTACCGCTTCGGAAAGTCCCGGTCCCCGGGACTATTAAAATTAAAAGGGCTCACATTGGCAAAGGGCGGTAATATGGTCTGTTTTGTTTGTTTTTTTCTGAGACAAGTATGTGTTATTTTGCAGTGTGGGCTGTTGTGTGTTCCTAAGCAGTAGAGACATAGCTGGTTGATAAGAAAGAGTTGGATTAGCCGATCATTAAAGGGCATTGTGGTTTGACAGTATGTGGTATGGTGTGTAGTGCGGTGGCATAAAATCTTAGTCATAACTTGTGTGCTGTAGAGAGAAGGAGTAGCTAAAAAGAGAGGTCATATATATATAAGCGTTATTGGACAAAGTCGTCCCAACAAGCAAAAATCTTTATTTTATTACACAAGAAGCTAAACCAATCAGGTCTAAAAGTTACTATCGACCTACACAATAATATCCTCACGATAGGTTCAGACGCACATAATATGGTACAATTAAATGTCATTGATTTCTTAGAAGTAAAGCCGCACGATGTACGCCTTTTACACACTACAATTCTCCCCAAAAGATCCTCCTCTATTGTACCAGCTTTTATTGACAACTACTC